GCACCTCGACCAGCACCACCGCCGCCGCCACCTCCACCACCGCTGCCGCTGCCTCCACCACCTCCGCCACCGCCGCCACTACCTCCACCGCCGCCACTGACGCCCCCACTCCCGGTACCACCCCCACCTCCACCGCCACCTCCTCCGCCTCCTCCACCTCCTCCACTGCTTCCCCCGCTGCCCCCTCCACCACCCTTGCTCCCCTTGCCCTTGCTGTTGCGGCGTCTCCCACTAGGGGCAGACGCAGCTCCGACCTCCTCAGTGCCAACGAGGTCGACAGCAGCAGCAGAAGCAACAGAGGGGAGAAGGGGGACAGGGGAACACCCCTCAAAGAAGGGGGTGCGACGGTCGCCGCGAGAAGCACCTACAGCTAAGATACTCTTCTCAGCTGCAGCAAGGCGCTCCTCTAGCAGGTCGACAGTCAGCTCGGTGGGGCAAAGGGAGAGAAAGTGATCCCTTACTGAAGAGAGGGAGTCAGGGAGGCGGGTGACTAGGTAGTAAAGGGTGATGTACATGGGGGGGGGGTTCTTGGCACAGAACTCAGTGGCAAGGGCAGCGCGGTAGCGGGCGTCACTAGTGCAAAGGTGAGCAACTAGGTCAATAACTGTGGCAAAGGCGGCAAGGTCAGGGAAAAGGTACGGTAGCATGAGGCGGCTGAGGGCAGCAGTGGTAGGGGAGGAGTAGCGTGCAACTACAGCGTCGTACAAAGACTGAGCAGTCTTGTACTGGCCAAAATGTGCGCGCTCAGCAGGCGGCAGGTGACTACGAACAGCAAGACGAGCAACAGCGTCACGAGTGGTCCACTGCGAGCGAACTGTACTGACAGCAGTGGCAGCAGGAGCAGTGGAAACACCGGACGTGTGATCGAAAAGGGATACCCCATCCCTAGAATCACACTGAAGAAAAAGCTGTAGGTCGTCAACCCACACGTCAAAGTCAACTGCACGTCCCTCAGCATCAAAGGTGAGAACGGTAGGACTAGCCATAGCAGCAGTAGGAGAAGTAGCAAGAGTAGCAGCAGTAGCAGGAGTAGCAGCAGTAGCAGCAGCGGCAGTAGGGCAGTGCAAGGCAGTGCGGCTCGGTGGGGCGGCGCGGCTCGGCTGAGTGGCGCGGCTCGGCTGGGTGGCGCGGCACGGCTGGGCGGCGCGGCTCGGCTGGGCGGCGCGGCTCGGCTGGGCGGCGCGGCTCGGCTTACCAGAGACGGGTGCAGGGGCGGGCCGTGACGGGTGCAGGGGCGCGCCAGTAGGGGGGGGGGGGTGCACCAGCAGGGGCCGCGCCAGCAGGGGCCAGCAGGGGCGCGCCAGCAGTGGCCGGCAGGGGCGCGCCACTAGGGGCGCGTCAGCAAGGGCCGGCAGAGGCGCGTCAGCAGGGGCCGGCAGGGGCACGCCAGCAGGGGCGCGTCAGCAGGGGCCGGTAGGGGCGCGCCAGTCGGGGCCGGCAGGGGCGACGGCAGAAGCTGCAGGGGCAGCTTAGAGCCGCGAAGGGGGGGGGGCGCGAAGAGCCGCTAAGGGGCCGCGAAGAGCCGCGGAGAGGGCCGCGAAGGGCCGTGAAGGGGCCGCGAAGGGCCGCGAAGGGCGACGAAGGGCCGTGAAGGGGCCGCGAAGGGCCGCGAAGGGCCGCGAAGGGGCCGCGAAGGGCCGCGAAAGGGGCCGCGAAGGGCCTCGAAGGGTCGCGAAGGACCGCGAAAGTGGCCGCGAAGGGCCGCGAAAGGGGCCGTGAAGGGCCGCGAAGGGGCCACGACGGGCCGCGAAGGGGGCTGCGAAGGGCCGCGAAAGGGGGCCGCGAAGGGCCTCGAAGGTCAGGCGCACGGGGCGCAGCTAGGACAAGCGCGAATCGCGCTTCGGGCAGGTAAGGAAAAAAAATCGTAGTGGTGGGCCCTTAAAAAAAAACGGTCCCACTAGGGAACCCGCTCTATACCATGTGAGAATAATGAGAGGAATGAATTGAACTAGGAAGCAGGTGGGTACAAGTATGAAAACTAAAAGTGTTGTACCCTATAAGAACTACCCCACTACAGCCTAAACCAGGGCCTCAGAAGTCAGCGAAAAAAGGCTGATTTGGGTAAAAAAGGCTGAGATTTCAGACCTTTTTTAGAACGGTGGCTGATTATTCAGCATTTTCTGTGAAAAAAACAGGAAAATGTATGTATTTTGTAGTGTAAACTGGCATATAATGGCAGATTTTTCTGATTTTTAGAATTTTTTTTTGTACCAACTCTGATTGGTTCAGCCTAGCTCAAAACCAATCTGAGGCCCTGGCCTAAACAGACTATAGCATATATAAGTTTGACATACTTGTACCCAACTCATTCATAGTTCATTCATTCCTGCACAGTTATTCTGACAGTGCCTAGTGATAGCGTTCCCACCGGTTACGAACCGCTCGTGTCTGGAAAACGTGGTGGTGATGCCGAGGTCATGAAGAGTCAGACGACTCTTAAAGGATCGCTTTAAGAACGCTTGGCGTTTCATTGAGATAAATTGTATTGATTTTTTTTAATAAACTAGAACACCAACCATTGCAACGATGATTATAAATAAAAGATTCCACTACCTGCGGGATTTATGAGCAATATTTCAAAAGAACAATACCTTGTTCACACCAACGACATGACCTGATCACATGCTTCATCTACATTATGGTGAGGTATTTGAGATACATATTTATATATTAGGTGTGTGCTCTACCCTTGCATTGAAGTCATACACTGCCTCAGAATGCTGGACAGATTCGTACTGATCACTATTGTTGTATGGACAGACCATCAATCCTCAGCTTCTCAGGAGATGTTGCGGGCTCCCAGTGGTGTTGTCTGTTTGTATATCCTGAATGCCAGCTTGAATTCGCTGCTTTTGGACGACATAAGACTTGTCGTATCGGGAGGAGCCCTCATGCCTGGGGGGTAACTTGTTGCGCATGGCAAGTCCTTCGTTCCCCTAATGAATCGTTGTGTATAGTCGGAAGCATTTCTACGACTCACCCCCTAGTGTACTATATACCATCCTGGATCATGTTCACAGCCAGTGGCCACTTTTCAGAGTGGGGATAACCAGATTTGGTTAGACTAAACATGATGTTTGATACAAAATCAGCGGTAACCCCATTTTGAAGGGATGAGCTATTCCGTGAATGGCTGCTTGCTTGCCTATCAGCAACAGGTCCAAGGCTTTGCTGGCCCTGAGGCTCCAACATTCCAGCAGGAAATGAGTGGCATGAAGCCATCGTCTTCCAACCGTCTTTGGTTGATAGGTGGTTTTTTTTTTTTTTTGGCAGGGACACGAACTACTTTCTAGGTTGCCGAACGTAATAATTTATCTATCAAAATGTTTTTCAAGTACAGCTTATAATAACACGGCTCGATTCCTTCCTACATTAATTATGTTCTACCATCGCACTCTCGGTTCAATATGTTTTCGGAATTCATTTTGGCAGTAAGATCCTGGTATCAGAAACCCAGGTGGGGTGGTATTCGCACCCTAAATAGAGCACTAACCAGAGTTGTATCCAGCCAGCTTGCGAATGAGTCCCACCTATTGTAAGGGGAACTTCTCCTTGGCTTACACTGAATTCGCGAATTCCTTGTTTTCATTTCAGAGTGTTCTCGAATTGTTTGCAACGCGATTGCTGAACTATTCGCCTTGTTAACGACAAGGCACCCTACACATGCATAGTCGAAACTGTGGTTATCACAAGCATTAAACTTGCCTCTACTTGGACTTTTACCAATTTCCAGATCGAGTTATTCTGTCTGAATGAAAACATATTCAATTAGGGAAACAATCAAGCATGTAGTTTGGTGTGGATGTTGAATGCCCTGGCGAGAGTGAGGTGTGTGAGGTGGTGTGTTGGAGCCTCACGTATTGGAGCCGACTGGAAGACAATTTTCCGTCAACAAATCTGATGCTCTCAGGTTTCGAATCGCAAATTTGTTGGAGACGGGCCTTCGCGAACTGGTGTCGCGAACTCCACTATTGTTACAACATTGCACGATGCACAGGTTGTGTGCTATGTGCGTGGACATATAAACAAGACCATTTGGTCCCCTATCCAAGCTTATGCACCATCCGTATTTTGTGCCTCTTTTTGGCTAACTACAGACGTACTTGGCCATTGCTTCCAACTCAAAAGCCCGACCCGCGTTTGGCTCTCGTCGACATAGTTTACGTCGCCATGATGAGAGCACTCTCAATACATGTTCTGACGCTGGCGCTCCTGATCGCACTCTTATGTCCCTCCGCTTTCGCTGGCAGCAGCAACAACAACGGGAATGGGAACGGCAATAAGGTTTCCCCTCCACCCCCAGCAGTGACTGCGAGCCCTCCACCGAGCCCTCCACCGAGCCCGCCGCCGGCGAGCCCACCGCCGAGCCCTCCGCCGCCGAGCCCTCCACCCCCTGGCACAGTCACTCTATCGCCCGCGGGACAGAACAACAAGAACGGAAACGGAAATGGCGTGAGCGCCGCTGTCATAGATTGGTACAACGACCAGGAGTACCCCACGTGTCCTCTCCAAGACTGCCCGCCGCTCAAGTTTTTCTGCTCTGGAGGCATGTGCAATGACACTGCTGGGATCCTAGGCCGCTGGAGGGTAAGAATTGCTGAAAAGAGTATTCGCACGAACGTCCATTTCTGCAGAGCTTGACCGGCGCATTTTCCCATACGTCGTTGGTGCAGCTTCCGGTGCAATCGTCGCTCCAATGCCCTCCAGGCAGCAGCAACCCGAAACCAAACAACCAGTGGTGCATCGAGAATCTCACCGTTTCGGAGTGCTGCGCTGCGTGCTCTAACAGCGCCATGCCCTGCCGCCTCTGGCAGCACTATATCGGGTACGTCTTGTTTTGGTGCACTGATCTCGATCATCCTCCACATTTCAGCGTTTCACTCATTTCGATTTAGTCGTGGCATTGGCTTCGCAGAACGATAAATCCTTCGGGAAAGTGTCTCAAGTGCGGCATCTGCTGGCTGTACCCTCCTGGTGACGCGCCCAAGTGCGAGACGCAGCTGGACAACAACAATGGCTACCGCATCAAGTACAACTGCTCACGCATCGGCGCCTCGTGCCCCTACACCAAGAACGACCCGCACTTCCGAGGGGCGCACGGCACTCGCTTTGAGTTCAACGGCCTCCCAGATAAGACATTCTGCCTTCTGACCGACCGCCATGTGCACCTGAACATGCGCATGCACGGGTACTTGGACGATCGCACCATCGGTGCGTCGATTATCCGCGGCGGCAAGGCCGTGCGCACGTGGATCCGCGAGCTGGGCCTCATGTGGCGCGAGGAGGGCGCTGTCGCTGGTGACGTGGACCGTGAGCACAGACTGCGGATGGTGGCACGACGCGGGACCCAGCAGGAACGCGGAGAGGGGTTCGTGGAGCGGCTGGAGGTTGATGGCGTCCTAATTGGTCGCATGCGCCAGGGCGAAACACTCAAGCTGGCAGGACTCGAATTGACATTCGTGGGTGTGCAGATGCGAGGGCCAATGGAAGTTGACGCGTATCATGTTAGCATCCCGGACCTCATCGAGCTGGACGTGAAGCTCCGAGTGGCGCATCCCCTGCTGCAGACTGCAGATGACGCAGAGGCTCATATCAACCTGGCTTTCCAGCATGTTGAGGCGACGAAGGACATTCATGGCGTCATGGGACAGACCTATCGCCCGGGGAGAGAGCAACGGGCCATGGATTACACTGCTTTGTCTGCCCTGCTGCACCGCCCCGTGGCGGTGGACTCTGAACAGGGTGCAGGTTTCTTAGATGGCTCTATGCGTGATTACGAATCAACCGACGTGTATGCACCAGACTGTAGGTACTCGGCCTTTCTATCTGGGCGCATCTCTGTCTGATGATGGAGCTGCTGCCTCATGGACTGACAACACACCACTCTAATGGAGCAAGCTCAAGCCTCCTAACAAGGACTAGTCTGCAATGTACTGCGTAAGCCTCAATCAATATATTCGATTTTTTTTTTCTAGCGGTGAAATCTGAGATAAAATGTATAAGCAGCGTACAGCTCATGTACACCAGCTTCCATCATATTGCCTTGCATACGGTTTTGAAGTATAATTTTGTAAGTTTCTGGTGTATGAGATCAACATCGTGTAGCATGTAACTGAAGTACACCACTCCGCAAGCATTTCTGAGCTCTTCCTCACATTTTGCACCCCTTGTTTGCGGCAGTGTTTGCCGTCATGACTCGCAAGACTACCATCAGAACCCTCCCCATCTCAGTTGCAGATTACTCGCCTGTACTCACGCCGACCTCTCCACTTCCAGCCTCGTCATCAGTGACTTCAGCAAGCCGTCGTGCCTCCATGTCCGATCAATTAGGGTTTTCCACGACCGCCGTTGCCGCATGCCATGCATCTGCGGTGTTGCTCGCAGGTCTTGTGACCTTCTGGGTCGTCGGCTTTCAGGGTGGAGCAAGCTGGGACTCGCAAAAGCCTGACGCCATTTTTAATGTTCGTATTTTCTTTTGCGGCAGTAATTGCTTTTTTCTATAAATAATTTCCGCAAAAATAGAGTTATTTTGTTGACGAATCGTCACCTGTACTCTCCTATCGTGTTCTTTCCCCTACGCTGTGCGCACCTGGCGCCTTTCGTCGGGCGTTCTCACTAACATGGGGGCACCCCCGCCTTTCCGCTTTCCCGTTCGTGACACAGTACCATCCTCTCTTTATGATCGTGGGCTTTGTAGTTGTGTTCGGCGAAGGTGCGTATTCTTTTTCTTCTTTCTTTGGAAGTTGTAGCTTGATCCAGCTGCCAGCACCCTGCAAGATTTACCCAATTTCTGCTTGTGTTCGCAACTCCTTGAAGACCGTTTCATTTTGGCTGTGTGCATCCCACACTGAGTGCAGGCATCCTTGCGTACCGCCTGCTTCCTCTGTCAAGGCCGGCCAGAAAGGTTGCCCACTTGGTCATTAACGGGGTTGCGCTGCTGCTAGCACTGGTGGGAGTGTGGGCAGTGTTCAAGTTCCACAGCCTCAAGTCCATTCCTGACCTTTACAGCCTCCACTCTTGGTGTGGCATGGGGGTTCTCGTCCTCTTTGCGCTTCAGGTATGTGTTCCGCCCGTGGTTAGTTTTTTTTGGTTGTGTTGGGATCCACTGATGTTCCTTTTACTTTAACTTATCGCACTCTCTTCTTTCCCTTTAACACGACCCTTGCAATTTTCATTCAGAGCTCATGTTCGTTTCTCCATCCTTCCCCACTCATCCATTCCTCTCACAGTGGTTGTCTGGCTTCTACGCGTTCTTCTATCCAACCACATCTCTTGCTGCTCGTCAATCCTTCATGCCATGGCACACCTTCCTTGGTGTCTTTATTTTTTGCTTCGCACTCGCCACTGCGTCGCAAGGGGTCCTTGAAAAAATGACGTTTCGCTTCGTTGGGGGCCTCGACAAAAGGGGCCCAGAGGCTATTGTTGCAAACCTGCTTGGCCTCATGATTTTCGCCTTCGGTGCTATTGTCATCTGGACGGCCACAGTGGTCGACAAGGCAAGAGTTGAGGAGTACCGAGTTCTTCAGTGATGTTAATGTGTGCCACTAGTACAGTAAGACGACCATTTTTGCTTGTGTGGTGTATTTTGAAGAATGATTCGATTTATAAGCCTACAAGTTGATCGCAGTCTGCTTCTTCACCTCCGGTAATAGCGAGTTAACCTGGTTGGTAAGCACTACTTGGCGTTTGGTTGGCGCAATAACGCTCCACTTCGAAATGCACTGTTTGTCGTGTCGTTCCACGCCCACAAACGGGCACTCACATTTGGCTGTAACGGGCAGCTTCTTTGGCAGTGAACTGAGGTGCACCTTAGAAGGCGATGCTTTTCGATTTCGCAATTCAGTATCTGGGGTTTCCATCCACTCGTTAATCTTCGCATTCGCTTCGCCTTGGTCAATCAGTCGCGCTGGTTGGCCTCCTGCTCACCTCTGTCGTTTGTTACTTGTGCTGCTGTTGTTTCCCTTCCATGCTCTGCCCACTCTCAGTGCTGCGCCGCTGTAGTCGTACTGCCCGCAGGGCAAGCAGGCATTCCTCAATGGGTTCTTCCTCTCTTGTAGCAGTAACGTCCCAAGTCATGCATACACTCACTGCTCGTTCGCGCATCACCATGTCCTCAACTATGAATGTGCGTAGCTTTCCTGTAGAGCGCCGCCGTTGATCCTGTACATAAGTAATCACGCACACGCCACGAATATTTCAGTAACCACCGCGACGGTGCAATGTCGCCTGCACGGCTCAGACACTGCCTGCTGCCGCCTCAGATGGCCCTTCCTGATTGGAAAGTCCCACGAGCACCGCTTTCTCTCTGTCTCTTGTAACATACCCGTTTTAGACCTTTCTGCTTAACGCATCGCTCGATGCGCGCGAGGATCAAGTGCTCGTTGCGCCAGTAGCGGCCATCCAGCCGCACACCACGGTACGACGCCTGCGGACACGCACGCGCAATTAGCGCACCTAGCAGCAGGCCGCGCGGTGCTTAATTTCTGCCTGCCGTCCCCCCTTCGATCCTCCGTTTCTTCTAGCCTGCCGCCAGTTATCGCAGCGCATGCCATCGCATCAACGGCCCCCGCATTGCAATTGCGTCGTGGTCAACGGCTTTCCTCACACCCCTGCGCCCCCTCGTCCGCATCCTCCCCGCCCTTTCCTAAGCCCTCCCCACGGCGCGTCGGCCCGCGTCGAACCCTGCGGATCGTGCTGCGAAGCCCCCATGTGCTCCTCGTTCACGCCCTTCCCGCCAATCACCCACTCCTCTCTTATCTCTCCCGGCCTTCCCTCACCTGCCCCGCACCCGCGCCTCTCTGCACCCGCCGTCACCCTCGCTTTGTTCCCCCTCTTCCCCCGCTCTCCGCCACTCATATCATCCCTCCCCCTCTCCCCCCTCTTCTGGCATGCGGCAACCTATTGTGTAGTCCCTACCCCTCCGCGTTGCCCGCTGTAGCCCTTTTATATCACCTTCCGCCACCCGCGGACTCTCACCCGCCTCCGTGCCTGGGCGCCCCGCTCTCTCAACCACCCTGCGTGGACTCGCCTGTGGGAACCGGAATTGGCGCTGCTGGCATGGCGTGGTGCGCATGCTCATAGCATCGCCGCCGTTCACGCATGCGCATCCCTTTACTCCCCCGCCCCCGGCTCCCATCTCCCGCTTTCTTACCCCCTGTCGCTAATCGCGTTCTCTCTCTCCCTCGCTGACCCCCACCGTGGTCGCCCTTCGAACGGCCCGGCCTCCCTTCAGCAGTGGCGCGCGCATGGGTGGGGAGGTGTGGGTGGTGGAGGTGGCATCTGCGCGCGACGCGGAGAGGGAGGGCGAGAGGGAGAAGGCGAGGGAGGGCGAGAGGGAGAGGGAGGGGTGCAAGGACGCGCTGCTGATGGCCATCGCGGACGCGCGCCTGCACTCCCACCCCGTCGCGCTGCTGCTCGTGCACGTCATGACGCACGTGCGCTCCCATGGTACGCCGCCAGGGGACAGGACGACATTGCATGCCATGGCATGGCATGGCATGGCATGGCATTGCATGGCATGGCATGGCATGGGAGAGGCTCTTTGGCTCTTGAATTCCATGCACAAGTGCACACGTGTTGGGAGGCTCTGTGCTTCGAGAATGTGTGTGGACTCACGAGTGTGCACTCCATGGCATGGCAGGTGGGGAGGAGGTAGATGTGCAAGAGGCGGATGTGGCAGCAACGAGGGACAGCGTACAGCGCCTGCAGCAGCACGTGCTCAAGCCCCTCGTGCTCTTCGCCACACACAAGGAGGTCAGCTGCTACCGATTCTCTTGTTGATCCTGTTTCATGAACACGCCCTTGCTGTGTGCTCTCATCACTTTGTACCCTCCGTAGCGCGGCCCATGGTACTCACGCCCCTGCACACCCCATGCACCTGTGAGCACGAGTGCACGGCCGTGTGCCGACGTGGACTCATGCGGCACCACCTCTCCTTGCACGTGCTCTCCACCCGTGCATGGCATGTGCAGGTGGCGGCAACGGGCCATGTGGAGTGTGACAGCAGGCGGGAAAGAGGTCTCTGCACTGCTGTTCGCCGCACTTCCGCCACTCGCCTCTACCTCTCTCTCAAAAAGTAGTGCCTCCATGCCATGTGCCTCCATCCATGCCATCTGTGTGCATGCCGTGTGCCCCCTTGCCTTGTGCTTCGCATCTTCTGAGATCTTCCATGAGCCACTGCCCGAACTGTTTCCCTCCATTTCATTCGCTCCCAACACAAGCCTTCATCTCCACCATTTCCCCCCACCTACCTCTTTCACACGCATCTCCTCCCACGGCCACCCCACCTATGGAGTGCAGGAAAGCACATGCGCGGGGGCTGCCATCATCATATCTGGTGGACTACTGCGAGGCCGTGCTGCCGCCCACCACCACCATCACGCTCGTGCTCGCCTCACACAAGGTCAAGCGCCTGCCAGGCCGCTGCTCCCTGCTCGACCCCCTCTCTGCTGATGCCGCCTCTCTCGCCATTCCGTCGCCACCGCCGGTAACGGCTGGGCCTGCAGTAGCAGCAGCAGCATTTGGATCACGAATGGCAGCAGCAGCAGGAGAAGCAGAGGGGTTGGAGGGCAGCGTAGAAGGCAGTGCAGCAGGAGCACGAGTAGGGGCAGCAGTGGCGGCAGCAGACGAGGCACGAGGACTGGGCACCCCTGCAGCACCAGGAGCAGCCGTGGCAGCGGTGGTGGCGGCAGCAGCAGCAGCTCGGCTGCTCTCCCAGAGCAGGGCGCGCAGCAGCAGCAGCGCTGGCAGTGCTGCTACCAGCACCATGAGCAATGGCGCCCAGAGCAGTGGCGGCAGTGGCGAGGGCAGCGGGGCGGCAAGGGAGGCGGGCAGCAGGAGAGCAAGCGCAGTGCAGCAGGTGGCAGCGCCTGGCAGGGCCTCGGGTGGCGGGCAGGTGAAGGGCGCGGCGGGCAAGGCAGGCAGCAAGAGCCGGTCGCCGCTTAGGAGAGTGGTGTCGCTGGGCGTGGCGGAGAACGCGAAGCTGGGGCGGAGGGGGAAGGGAGCAGAACAAGGGGGCAGAGAGGGGGGAGGAGGCGATGGGATTCCGGCTCTGAAGCACACGTGGGAGACACAGAACGGTGCGGCTTGGGAGCAGAGCGGTGGCGCTGGCAGGGAGCCGTCTTTCCACCTGGACCCGCGTGTGCACGCCTCAGCAGCAGCAGCAGCAGCAGCAGCAGCAGCGCCCTCCCCCAGCACGTCCTCCCCTGCTGCGTCGCCCCTAGCCCCATCAGGGTCCGCCATGAGCTCGTTCCTGAACAAGGCGTGGAAGGAGGGCTTCCTCTGGCGCCTGCAGCAATCCAACGCCCACACCCCTGCACCGCTCTCCATCGCTTCGAACCACAGTGACAGCGAAGCGGACAGCGATGGCGAGGGGGCGGCTGTGGTGGCCACGCCTGTCACCTCCGCCAACGCCCGCTCGCTCTTCTCCCCCTCCCCACGCCCCTCCCTCCAACCCCTTGCGCAATCCCCCCGCGCTGCCTCTCATAGTGCTGCTGCTGATGCGCACAGCCCTCGCGCTGCTGGGGACGCCCAGCCACGCCGTGGTGCCAGCAAGGGGCAGGCGGACAGGGTGAGGCGCGCTCTTGCAGGCGCGGAGAGGGGCAGCGGTGAGGGGGAGGGGGAGGCGCCTCCTGGGATGAGAAAGAGCCACTCGGAGAGCAGGGACCCGGGCAGTGGCGCGAGCGAGGGCGAGGGCAGTGGGGGCGAGGGGAGGGAGGTGAACAGCGATGGTAATGAGGGGCATGGGCGGCGGCACCGGCGCAGGGTGGTTGGTGGGCGCGGGCTCGCTGCCTCTAGGTTCCGCCCTCAGGGCCGAGAGGCGGGCGAGGAGGGGGGTTGGGACGAGCGGCACAGGGAGGGTAGGGCGGATGGGGATGGGGGGTTGGGCAAGGGAAGGACAGTGCAGGAGGAGGGGGGGTACATGAGTGCGGGAGGGGGGAGGGAGGGGCGGCAAGGAGGGGATGAGTACATGGACAGCGAGCGTGACAGGTGGCATGGTGATGGGTGTGACGGGGTGGCGGACATGGGGGAGGAGTGGGGCCAGCAGGACGGAGGGCGTGGGGGAGGGCGAAGGGAATTGCGCAAGGCGAAAGGAGAGAGGGAGAGAGGCGAAAAGAAAGAGGCAAGGAAGGTGGGTGAGGGAAGGATGTGGAGGCATGGGAGCGTGGCGGCACAGGAAGGGGCGAGAGATGCTATGAGGGCGGTGAATGCAGCAGTGGTGCCGCCTGGTGGTGAGCTGCCGTCGCCCACTGGGCATGACTCCCCAAGGTGGCTGCTGCACGAGGCAGAGAGGCCGAGAGGGCGGGCACACGAGGACGAGCAGCAAGGCAGGGGCTCGCATTGGGAGGCGGAGCAAGGTGAGGGGTCGGAGGAACGGAGCAGTGTGGCTGCTGCGGGCGAGACTGGCAGCAGCAGCAGCAGTGGTGTTAGCTGGCTGCGGCGCCGGCAGCAGCTGCGGCAGAAGCAAAGGAACAAGCAGATGGAGAGAGCAGCGTGGCAGGAGTCAGGGCAGGTGTTGCGGCATGGGGAGGAGGAAGCGGAGGCACAGGGGAGTAGTGGGGAGCAGGAGGGTCGGGGCAGTGAGGCGGAGGAAGGCGAGGGGCGGCTGGAGAAGGTGCGAGTGATGCAGCGGCGGTTGGAGCAGGACAGGGCGTGGTCGCAGGTGCGGCACACAGTGCAGAGCGCAGCAGAGAGTGGTGTGCCCGCTCCCTTCCGATTAGAGGTGCGTGCTTGCGCGCTCTTCCTGCTCTGTGTGTGTCGTGGGCTATATGGGCCATCCCTCTCGTTCATGCACACACTTATGTTCAAACTGTTGTGCATGCACTCGCACACCCTCTTTCACAATACTCATGTGTCCACCCCTTTGTTCCATCATCAATGTTGACTGTGACGGCTCAGTGGTTCTCAAGTCCCTCCCCTCCAACGTGCACACATCCCTTTACATGCAGATTGGAAGGTCCCTCTCTCCCTCCTCCACCTTTGCCAGACGCACTGCCTCACCAACTCCTCACCACCTCGCGCACGCGCACCACTTGCCATCGTCTCCCTCTCATTCTCACACCGATGCTGCCTCCTCTCCTCCCACGAGTACCTCTCCCACCGCTGCTGTTGCTGCTGCCAGCAGCACTGTGCTCGCTGGCACAGTGGACGCCAGTGTCTCCACCACCAGCACCATGGCTGGCAGCGACCGGACATCGAGGCACAAGGCAGGGCGTGCTGTCAGCAGCAGTAGTAGTCACGGGGGCAGCACAGCGACAACAAGCCCACGGGGCCTCGCTGCGCCTTCTGCTACACCCTCTGCGCCCCCGCTTGCTTCTGCTAGTGCTGCTGCCACCGCTGCTGCCACCAGCACGACTGCTCGGCCATCCGCTGGCGTGTCCTCTCCACGTGCGTCTGCAGTGGGGACAGCAGGCAAGGGGCGCAGCAGCAGGGCGGGCAGTGGCAGCGCCAGTGGGCGCAGCAGCAACAGGAGTGCACGCGGCAGCAGCGGCAGCCTGAGTGGGTTGCTGTCACTTCCCCGCACGTCCACGGCTGACAGCTCTGTGCTCACCGCTGCCACCTTCATCAGCAGCAGCACCAGCGGCAGACTCTCCCTCGATGCACATGTGGTATCCGCCCCTCCTCCTCTCGCTCCCTCTCCCGCTGCACACACTGCTGCGCCCGTCGTGGTACCTGCATCCCCGGCTGCTACTGTCCATGAAGAGGATGCCTCTGTTGTCACTGCTGCCAACTCCCCTCCCTCCGCAGCTGCTGCCTTGCCGTCCCATCGCAGCATGGGCAAGGAGAAGAAGCGCGGCATCAAGTTACCGCGCTCCAAAACCGTGGAGGGCAGCGCCTTCTCTTCCTCCTCCTCCTCCTCCTCCTCGTCCCTGCTGCCCCCCTCCCGCTCCTCCTCTACCTCTGTCTTCTCCCGTGCAGCCTCCTCCTCCGCCACCATGGCCAAGTCCGCGTCCCTCTCTGCACACTCCTCCCCCCCTTCCTCCCACGCACCCACCGGCACCTCCCCCACCTCGTGGCTCTCCTCGCTGCTGCCCCTCCGCCGCCACTCCTCCCGCTCCGACTTCCCCTCGCCTCCACACCCACCTGTCGAGCCTGCCACTGCTGTGGCTGCGGTCACTGATATTCCTGCGACAGCCCTCACTGCTGCTGCTGGCGCGGGCAGTACTGATAGCCTGGACAATAGCACTGGCAAGCAGGACATGGCAGGTAGCTTCCGGGCAGGGGAGAACGGAAGGGACAAAATTTACATCTCGAGGGCAACATCAGGGGCAGGCGGATTAGGGAGAAGGAGAGGCAGTGGCAGTGGGCGGGGCAGCAGGAACGGCAGTGGGAGCATGGTGGAGTTCCCAGAGGCGTGTGACTTGCTGGCAGAGCAGGCAGGGGCGCTGGTGGAGTGGGAGGAGGGCGCGCAGAGAGACGGGTCCACAGGCGCGGTGTGCATGCCGTCGCCCCTGCGCCACCCTGCGGTGCTGAAGCGCAACAACAGCAGCGGCAACATCTTTGCCCGCATGTGGCGCAGCGACAGCACGGGCAACACCACCCAGGGCACAGTGGAGAGCGGCGAGCAGGGCGGGCAGGCAGGGCATGACCGTGGTGGGTATGTGGATGGGTCAGGCAGCGACGAGGGGGGTGTGGAGGGCGTTGATGGGGGAGAAAGGGGAGAAAGGGGAGAAGGGGGAGAAGGGTGTGTGGAACAAGAGAGGAGGATGGAGGGTAGCGTGGGGGCAGGGGATAAGGGCGATTTGGGGAGTGAACAAGGGAAGACAGCTCCATACAGCAGCGTAGCACAGGTTAGCAATAGGGAGCAGGGGCGGGCAGGGGAGGGGCTGACAGGGCATGGCAGTGCGATGGAGCAGGAGAGGCAAGGGGTGGGGGGCGACGAGGCACAGCAAGCTGCACTGCAAGGGCGAGTGGGGGGGAGCGGAGCAGAGCAGGCGTTGCAAGGGGTGGAAGGGAAGGAGGAGGCGGCAGGGGAGACGGAGGAGTGGTGGCGGTACACTGATGACTTCAACATGCCTCTGCCCGGTGACGACGAACCCTCTCCCACCTCCTCCTCCCTCCATGCACCCCGCCCCACCCTCGCCTCTTCACCACGTTCGTCCTCCCTCCCTACAGCCTCCAAGCCTGCTTGCACCCCTGGAACACACGAATCACAACGGGCAGATTCAGCTGCCAGCGAAGCAACAGGGGCAGTGGCAGCAGCAGCGACGAAAGGGGGGGCGGAGGCGGGAGCAGGGCGGGGTGAGGGACAGGTGCAGCAGGACAGCATTGACGCGCTCATAGCATCGCTGCTGGCCATTCCAGACGTGCAGGGCGCCATGCGCATTGGGGACTTGCACGGGGCGCAGCAGGTGGACGTGCGTGCAGGGGACCCGCAGCCGTGGCAGCAGCAGCAGCAAGAGCAGCTGCAGCGCCACCAGCAAGCTGCAGCCTCCCCGCGCCACCATGCCTCCCCCTCACCACTCCCGTCCGCACCCTCCTTTGCGCGCCCCTCGTCGCGGCCTCTCACGCCATCGTCCGTGCACCGCGTGGAGAGCCTTGACAGCAGCCTGCTGCGCGCTGCTGCCGCCGACTGGCGTGCCACACACGCTGCTGCTGCGCCAGGCTCCGCCACAGCAAGCCCCGCGTGGGCCGCACCGCACACACCCGAGCGGAAAGGGGGTGCTGGTGCCACTGGCATGTGGGTGGGGGGGAGCGAGAGTACCGGCGGCGTGGGTCCAGGGATGGGTGCATCAGCGTTTGAGCGGCGCAGTGTGGAGAGGCAGCGGTCGGTGGAGGTGCGGTCGCTCAAGGAGGAGCTGGCAGCGTACGAGCAGTTTGATGCCGCCTCTGACGTGTGGGAGGGCGTCAAGGCTGGCGGTGCACGGGCGGGTGAGAGAGTGGAGGGCGATGGGGCGTGCGGTGGTGAGTACGACATCTGGCAGTGTGTGGAGAACCTGGAATCCTCCCACACCTCTGCTGCTTCTTCCGCTGCTGATGCATCGGCCGATGCTGTCAGTGTTTCTGGATCAGCAGCGGCTGTTGTGTCCCCCATGTCATCCCCTGGGCGGGTGCATGGGAAGGCCGCCCTTGCTGCCTTGTCAGCCCCTGCTGCTGACAGCAGTGGCGACAGGAGCGGTGGTGACAGGGGTGGGGGCAGTGGTAGCAGCAGCAGCGGGGCAGGGCGTGTGAGTGGCAGCACGCTGCAGAGGTCGCGGCTGAGCATGTCCAGTGGGCTGTCGGACGTGCCCTTTGGCGCCGATGCAGGGCCAGTGAATGCAGGTGGGGAGGGGGGAAGGGAATGGGCGAGTGGAGTGGAGGAGAAGGGCACAGCTGAGCCGGTGAGCGATCAGGCGGACAAGGCAGCAGCACCGGTGGCGGCGTCTCGGGCATCGCTATCACCAGCGCTACTGTCGCTGCACCAGTTCCTGCATCCCAAGAGCTCTCCCCGTACCTCCCCGTCCGCCTCCGCCTGCTCCTCCGCCGCTGCCTCCCCCGCGGCCTCCCCCTCGCGCCCGCGCACGCCCTCCGTGCACCACGCGCACACGCGCTCGCTCTCCTTCTCGCGCAGCCTGCTGCGCCTGCCCACGCCGCGCTCGATCTTCTCACCCTCCCGCACCGAATCCGAGGCTGTTGCTGTGGTGCCCGCTGCTGACCCGCCTGGCAGGCGCCGCGCGAGCGAGGACAGCGTACGCACACGTGCAGGGGAAGAGGGGGCGGTTGGTGTGTATGGCATGGGAATGCAGAGTGGGGAGGGGTTAGAGCGGAGGGATGGAGCAGGGGGTTCATCGCACTCAGTTGCTGCTGCTTTGGAACGTGAGGGTGAGGAGGGTGTGGAGGGCTCGTCTGCTGTGGTGTCACTGGGTGTGGCGCGGGGGAGGAAAGGAGTGGGGGCGAGTGGAGAAGGAGGGAGTGGGAGTGAGGACGCAGGGGATGGGGGTGAATTGCTGGAGCCGCCCACGCCCTCTGTGGGGTGGATGCAGCAGCGGATAGGTGGCCAGCACCACCTGTCTGGCAGCGGCAGGCATGGCAGTGGGCGGAGGGAGAGAGCAGAGGAAGGGCCAGAGCAGTCGCAGAACAAGGTGCAGCAGATGGGACAGCAACCCCCCCACATGGGTGGCGGGGAGTGGCAGGGGATTCGATCCAACAGCCAGAGTGCAGCAGAGAGCAGCGGGGTAGGGGCCCCCACACTGGTTCTCCCCATGCATTCCGCGAAGCTGCTGCGGCCTGCCATGGGCGACTCACCTGCTGCGTCCCCCTCCCATCGCCTGCTGTCCCACGGGTCGCTGCCCTGCGCCTCTGTAACCGCTGCCATCTCTGCGGCCGCCTCCCTCACCGCATCCAACCCCTCCTCCTGCTCCACCTCCCCTCCTGCCGCCTCTGCCTCGTCTTCGCTGCAAGCATCTGTGCCTCGCTCTACCACACCCGCACTTGCGCTCACCAGGCCTGCTACGCCAGCTGGCAATCGGGCTCTGCCTGCTGATTCTGCTGCGACTTCTGCTATGCCTGGCTTGGCCATGACTGCTAGCAAGGCAGAGGCAGTGAATGGGATCTATGACCCGTTCACCAGAAGCAACACATGTGCAAGTGAGCAGGGGGCGGCAGATAGCAAGAGCTGGCAGGGCGCAGCAGCCTATGAGGCGAGCCTCACAAGCACAAGTGCTCCCAAGTCAGCCAGCATCCCTAACCCTCCCATCTATAGCATCGCCAGCACCAACCACAGCAGCAGTGGCGGTGGAATCACAGGGGAGGGGGATTGCCGCACCTTCTCTTCCGATCAGCTGCTCATGGCCACTGATGGTTATTCCCCCGCCAATCTCCTGGGTCAGGGCGCTTTCGGTCAGGTCTTTCGGGGGACCCTTCTTGGCTGCCAGGTGGCTATAAAGCGTCTGTCAGGTGCCAGCTGGCAGGGCCCCCAGGAGTTCCAAACTGAGGTGGCGGTGCTGACGCGCATGCGGCATCCCCACATTCTCCTTCTCATGGGGTGTTGCCCCGAGGAGCAGTGCTTGGTGTATGAGCTTCTGCCGGGGGGGTCCCTGCAGAGCCTCTTGAACCGAGGGGCGCGCATTCGCAGGAAGCGTGCAGCAGCTGCTGCCAAAGCAGCCATTCAGAGCGCCAAAGCAGCCATTCAAAGACATGGCATGTGGGGTGATGACACGTGTGCACCTGGTAGTGCTGGGAAGGGGCTAGGAGGAGGTGGGGGACTAAGAGGAGGGGAAGAGGCTGACAAGTGGGAGAAGCAAGCAGCGAGCTGGCATCGGTTGCATGGTGAGGGGGCAGACATGGGTGGTGGGGACATGGACAGGGATCCTGGGATGGGGGATGGTGGCAGTAGCGACTCTCAAGGGAGCGACAGTGACGAGGATGAGGAAGAGAGTTTGACTGAGAGGGTTGCTCCTGAGGATGAGAGGCAGCGGCAGTTGAGGAAGAAGCAGCAGCAGAGGCGGAGACAACGCCGGAGCCTAGAGGTAGACAGAAACCAGCAGCAGGGCCACCAGCGGACACTAACACCTCCTCACCTTCCTTTTTCTGCTTCAAACTCATCTACAACTTCTAGTTCCACTGGCCAACCAACGTGCCCTATTCCTTGGTCTGACAGACTGCGCATTGCAGCAGAAGTGGCGTCGGCACTGGCATACCTTCACCTGCACGATCCCCCCATTGTCCACCGTGATTTCAAGCCAGACAATATTCTTCTGGATGCAAACCTCGGTGCTCGTGTGGGTGACGTCGGATTGGCACGCCTGTTGGAAGGTGAGGGTGCAACGACAACACGGGTGCAAGGCACAACAGGATACATCGATCCGGAGGAGCTTGAAACTTGCGAGATATCTGTTTCTGCAGATGTCTACGCATTTGGGCTGGTGATGGTGCAGCTGCTGACAGGAATACCTGATGTTCGGAGGGTCCACAAGCTGCTTGCTGAATGCTGGGCTGGCACAGATGGTGATATATTATTGGCAGTAGCAGCACTTTCTCGCCATTTGGATGATTCAGGAGGAACTTGGCCGAGGTCACTTGTGGAGGAGGTTCTAGTTCTGGCTCTTGAGTGTGCTGACCGGCGGAGGTCCTTGCGCCCGGACCTTGTTGAGGAGGTCTTACCTGCTGTCATCCGGGCAGCAAGGGAAGCGGCAGCGGAGATGCAAAGAAGGCGGCGAATTGCACGCCTGCAATTTTTGTGCCCGATATCCAAGGTAAGTATGATTGACATGCCCACTTAGCACTTGCAGCTTCTCTCCATTGGTCCACTTAAATTCTGGTCAAGGTGGGAAATTGGGGTGTTCTCTCAGTTGTCTTGAACAGTCATCATCTCGTGATGAGCAGCTTGAAGTGCCGAGAGTGTTCCGCGTGAGCCAGCTATATTCTTACCCGCTGCGCTGCCACTCCATCTTGATCCATACCCAATGTCCCGTCATTTTGTTTCTCCCACCTGTGCCTCCGCCAGACCACCATGTCTGATCCTGTGGTTGCAGCAGACGGGTTCACTTACGATCGGAGCAGCTTAGTGCATTGGCTGACTAGTTCTCGTCTTTCACCAGTAACAGGGGCACCATTGGATGACACCAGACTCGTTCCTAATCACACTCTCAAAATGCTGATAGAAACTCTTCAGTAGAGCATTGCCCAACTTATTCAGCTTGCACTTTGGCCAACGCAATATATGCTTAGGCTAGTCATGTGTTAGCCCACCATGTTGATAATGCAAGGAAGTTCATCTTGTGCACGCACTACTTCACACCAGCTCAGTTCAGATGCCCTACTTGAGATGTGGTATAGTCAGCCTCAAAGGTGTGCTTTTAGGTATGCAAGATTTGACTTGACTCAGTGAAAGTTGATTCAACAAGAGGTACTCGCAATAATAAAGCTGATGTGAGACATTGCTCTCTTGCTCATGGGAAATCGGACGACCATAAAGTTACGCCACTATTAATTCCGCCAAACAGGCTTTCCGGAGTTCAAAGCTCGAAGAGCATCTCGAGATTGATGCAGCGGTTTCAGAAGAGTATCTTAGTCAAGACGACGAACGACCTTGGCCAGGACATTTAACTCTCCCGTTTGAGGGCCTTTGTTTCTTCAACGTAACGAGATTTGTCTTCTTCGGCCATCTTGAGATAAACGGCCTTTTCCGAACTTTCAAGCGAGCTCCATCGTTGTCCAAGTAACTTTCCTGCAACGTGTGGTTGCTGAAGTGAGCTACCAGGTGAAAGGATACGTAAAAGAGATAAGACCATCAGCCAACTCACCAATTTCTCCAAAGCTTGCCGTTGGAGACTCTTTTTTCACTTTGTCTCGGTTGTCTTTTGCAAAGAACATGAAACCTGACAAGGGTCTCTTCGGCTTCACAGAGGGAGTAACAGACTTCGCTGCCCTAGGAGCTCTTGCCATCTTGAGAACTTGGTGCTGGTGGTCTCAGAGATGCCTTGATTGTTTTGAGTTGTGACATTTAGCTGCACAATAAGGCATTTGTAGTAAAAAGGCGGTTCGGCTCGATGGCAAGTCCTCGAAATTGGTTCGGAACTCGACGGACGCGGAAATTTCAAGAAGTCGGAAATGAGAATGTACACTACCACGCGGCAGCTTGTAGCTTGTGGATAACTTCAAGTGAAATTTCATGATAACCTATGCAATTAGAATGAGCATCTCCAAGTTATCAAATGTTATGGAGGTACGCAGACTGCATTGTGCGGTTAGATTGACTGTACCAGAACAGAGATACAGTTATTTTTATACCAAAGTAGGCTATCTGCATTCGAGTGAATGCACGGAGTTAGCCGTTACGTTATTCCCATCCCTCCCCCTTGCCAACCTCAAAAGATAACACATCCCTCGGCCCAGAGGCTCCTGCAGCCACGAAAAACAAGTTCTGTCATCCCAATGCCCCATGATTGCCATACCTTGTCCTTCCGGCTTCCATGGCTCCTATCCCTTCTATGCGTCCACCTAAACCTCATCCCCTTGCTGAATGCAGGTTAGTTCTGTACAAGCCAGCTCCGTGAATCTCCCCACCTGCGGCCCTGCATTCTCACGAACGAAATCCGCCAGAACCTTATCCGCACGGTGAATATCAAGCGCGTAAGGAGGCAGGAATGGCCGTGTGTACCCAGTAAACTGGTGAAATGTAGCACCATTCAGTAGCAGGTCGTTGTACGATCGAATGGATGGCGTGTTATCAAACCCAGCCGTTCGGAGGCTCTTCTCTCCAAACCAGGGTGTGACTTCTTTCCGCTTTGTGCCGGCAATGAAAATGTTTCTCTCCGACCTGATGTTGGCATACATCCGCCCACCAATGCAATAGTAGGTCCAGTTGGTGTAGAGGTTGTTGGCCACGTGTATCTGGCCCCAGCGTGCCTTGGGCTGCCTCTGGCCTGACTGGTCAAACCAGTTGCGGTAGACTGTTACCCGCATGTTGGCATCGTTCATGTCCCCATCATCTGCTCCCAGCAGCATGGTGAGGTTCCTTCAAGACAGGAAGGGTGACAGAGGAGGAAGGAAAAGTGTAAGTAAGATGATGCACGAGCTGATGGATGGACACAGGAGAGATTTTTTGTGAGAAAAAAAAAAACAATTGTCGTGACAGCCGGAGTTGACACAAGCATGAAGATGTACGAGGTAGAATTATTGACATACTTGTTACGAAGGTAGCAGTTGGAAATGGTGACATCTGTAGAGCCGTATACGACATCTACAGTGCCCCGAATGGCGTTGTACACAGCGCAGTGGTCCACCCATACACGTGTGGAATTGGATATGTGGATGACGTCATGGTCGCCAGGAAGATTGCCCACTATGAAGGGAGTCAGGAGACAGAGGGATCGGGAAAGAGGACGGGAGAAGGTTGACAGATGATCGATTAGCAAAGATGAAAGATGACATGTCCGTCTGGTAAGCTGTTACCACACAGGAGGAAAGATGACAGCAATGAACAGGGTGGCGAGTGGACACGGTAAGATATCTGACGAAATGGAATGAGCTTGGCGAAGGAACAGACGAAGGAACTTGACCGTTTTTACACATTCCTCCAACTCGCACCTGCCACATTGTGTATGATCACGTTGGTTACATTGTGCACCACAATGCCGCCGTTAATCGCCACACGTGCCCCCCGACCGTCGATAGTGGTATGTGCTGGGAGAAATAGGCGCTGCTTCAGGTTGATGAGCATGGACGACGCGAACCGGATCGTGACACCCGATCGACAGTAGCGGTTGAGGCCGAATCTTATCGTGCCAGGTGCCACGTTATCGACCATGTCGTCGTCGCTGGTAACCAGGTATATCGGACGTTTATAGCCGCCTGGCGGTTGTTGACGGGAACAGTAATCAAGGCAAGGAGGGAAAAGGTAGAGGTTATTCACAATGAGTCAGATTGCTTGGTTAATAACAAATCCCACTTGAAAGAAGTTTCTTGCTTCCCCACGTCACCCACGTGCCAAAGACATAGGCCCGCCTGAGTTGACTACTGTCACCCCTGCCAAGCGCGGCTTACCTGTCACACCGGCGTGACCAGCGTAGCCTACAGCGCACCGATGCAGCTTGCTGAACGCGCCTTTTTCTCTGTACTGGCAGTCCACCGCTTTGAACCGCGGCTTAGTTCGCGTCCTGTGGTTGGCCGCCTTCCGTTCGCCCTCATACCCCGTCTTCCCAGTTCCTCCTACCGGAGGCTTCCTCGCCCTGCCTCCAGCGCCCGCTCCCACCACCGGCTTCCCCACCATGCTATTACTACTAAGAAACATCATGCCGACGTCTAATCCGCCGTCGTTCGCGGCGGCGATTACGCTGTCGCTGTCGTACCCTTGTCCGTTGCCGTTCCCCACGTCCATCCCAGTCCCGGCCGTGCTCGCCTGGGACATGGTCTCGGCGTCCGTGCCGTAGTCCCTCTCGTCCCCGTCCCCGCCTTCCACGTCCCCGCCCAGCGATATCACTTCATCCGCGCCTGTCGTACCACTATCGTCACCAGTCGTGTCCGAGCCGTCGCTGCCCATGTCATTCCCCACATCGCCACCGTCTGGGTGATCTCCCCCAGCATCGTTATTCCCGCCCACTCCTCCACTTGCTCTGCCAGCTTTTGTCATTCCATCTTCTCTTCCGCTCGCAACCTCTCCCCCCCCATGTCCTCGGGAGTCCTTGGAAGGGCTCTGCTGATTGTCTGCTCGTTTCCGCGAATCCGTCAGCTGTCCTCCTTCCCCCGCCGCTTGTCGCTTCTGTACGTCTATATATCCCCCCTGCGGCACCACCGGCTTCCCATGCTGCGCTATCTGCTGTTTCGGCACTTGCCCTGTCGTTTGCTCCCCTTTTCGTTGCCCCGCGCCTGTCGAGTCCTTTCTTCTTGCCACGTCCGCAGTGGGCGTGTTAGCGCTTGCGAAAGGCGGAGGCAGCACTGACGCCGGGGCTCGCGAAGTTCCGCTTTGCTCTCCGTTCTGCACCCCCCCTTGCGCAGCACTCGCATGCCCGGAGTTCTGAGCAAGCTCCTTCATTTCCGCGTCTGTGGCGGTATGTTCGAACATATCCACAATTTCCTCGCCGTTCGTCGTCTGCTGCACCCGCATCCCGGGCTGAGCTGCCCAGTCGCCCTCACCATCGTCCACGTAGTCATCACCACTCTCCTCCTCCTCTTTCTTCTCAGCCCCCATCGTATCGCCGCCACTAGCCGCTCCACCAGTTCCGCCACCCGCCCTACCCTTCTCTTCCGCTCCTCCCGTTCCTTCTGGGTTCCCACTCCTCACCGTTGCCAGTCCTGCTGCGCCACTTCCATTTCCATAGTCAAATGCCTCGTTATTCCCTAATCCGTTCCCCTTATCGGCCATTTTCACGGAACCGTTTCCGTTGCCCTGCTGGCTTGCCGCGCTCTCACTGTTCGGTGGGCTTTCGGCCGCCCGCCCAGCTTCGAGCGCAACAATATCCGACACTTTAACCCACTCGCCTTCCCGAACGGTCAAAGCGTCGTTCAACAACGCAACATCTTCCTGACGCAAGAGGCGACGAAACCCTGCGGCCTTGCCGACGCTTTCCAACTGCGACGCCGGGCGCGACAGCCCGTTCTTCGGCGGTGACATGGTCGCAATTGCAGCCTGCGAGGGGCAGGCGACGCCTAACACGACTATGAACACGGATAGGAGGACTAAAATATCACGCATTGCTAGTTTTCCGTGACGGCACAATCGATCCTTTCTCTCGTAGAGATATCGGCCTCGTGCGGGCGGCATGTGTATCAACCGTTGCGAGGCGCCTCGACCAAGGGTCATTGTGGCTCCTAGCATCTCGGCATGACTTCCCTCGGTGTTTTCCGTCCCTAATTACTATGGAACAGTCAAAGAATAAGCTCTCGTATGAGTGCACTTCAAACCTTCACGAAGTGGCCAACAAGGTGTGAGCGGTATTGCCGCCTATCATCATAAGCGGTCAACACAAGACAGTGTTGTGAACCAATCAAATCGCTTTGACGGGGGAGCAGGTGAAGTGGTGCCACATAGTCGGGTAGTGCAAGCTTGATGAGATGTGTGGTGATGGCTAGGGAGGAAAGGCGCCAAGCACAGTTCCCATCCAGCGTGTTTTGCAGCGGAAATTGGATTCAATACATTCCCGATCCCGTGACAAAAACTAAACAAAAAGGTTCCATACTTGTTAAACTGGAACTTGAACTGCTAATTTCTGCGGTTTGCCATCCTTTCATGTAACCTAATACTTGTTTCTCGGGCAGAACGTAAACTCCTATACGGCTTTGATGCTCCTTTGTTACCCCTCTGTAGCCGCGACTCGAGGCGTCAACAGCTGGTGCTCCCCACCCCACGCACTTTGCTCTGGAAGGGAAGAGAAACCTTGTCTGAAAATTGGTTGCCTCACGTAACCCCAAAACGGGGAGCTGAATGTTGCGGTTCGTGTGGGCCAATGCGAGCAGCGAAATTTGGGGGCCCAGACGTGTCAAATTGGGATGCACGACAACCTGATGAGGAATGTGGAGAAACCTCAACACAGCGCACGATGCGCTAACAAGAGCAAAAAAACCACAATAACAAAAATAACTATACCTAAACTAAAATGCTAACACTGCTTCATGGCTATGTGTTACGGGTGCAATGAATCTAGGTAGCGAGGATTGCACTAGAGTGTTCAATGAGTACAAAATATGAGCAAAGGCATGAGCGAATAATTATGCGCGAAAATGTGCAAACGGTAACGTGGTGCGTGCGAGCTAGCTACCGTATGGCCCCGGATATAGGCGCCGTCCGAGTAAGGGTACATAATACATTCCGCTGTGGACACTGTCCCAATCGATGTGTCCCAATCAAGTGTACCGCTCCGAACCGAACTAAACCAGAGACGCGAAAAAATCGAAACGAGGGTGCAATTTGGTGTAATACGATGCAGTGCGGTAGAAACGATTGGGACACTTTCGATTGGGACATGTCCAGCGCGGAATGTACCCTAAGAGCGCCGGCGCTTCTATCTAGAGCATGGCGCTTATGGCCGGAACTCGATTATAAGCGCCCCCCCTCTATAGGGTGTACTTATTATAAGCGCACCCCTTTCACGTTGTGGAGGTTTCATTACGAAATATGAACAACAATTAACACTAAACATGAACATGATAAATTTTCACCTACAACATACAGTTTTATAGACACTAACACTGACACTAAACTAGAAATTGCTAAGTTTAGCATTTCTACCTAGAAAATCTACTCCTCGTCGGATTCGGGCTCCTGGCAGTTGTTGCCAAAGAAGCCATCGGCGATGATGGAATCATCGACGTCCACCTCCGCGGTTAGCTGGCTCCGCCTGTGCGCCATGGCGAGGCCGTCCTCACTACCGTCAAGCGCGTTGCTGATGCCACAGGTGAGGAAGGCGCGCTTGATGAGGTCCGCGGGCACTGCTTTCCAGGCCCGTGAGATCCACCTCACGACCACCTCTGGGGGTGGCTTCTTCAAGTTCCCTGTACCAACAGAATCACACAATATTTAGTTAGCGCAACAAAAGGGGGGACAATCATCTACGGTAAGATAGGGACTCGCGTGCCTATCATACCTGCTCTGGTTAGCTGTTCTTGGCCTTCTTCCTGAAACCACTTCTGATACTGCTGGCGGACGCTCGCCTTAAAGCTCTTGTTGATGCAGACGTCGAGGGGCTGTACCTCCGCCGTGCAGCCAGACGGGATGATCGCCGGCACGTAGTTGAGCTCGCGAAACTTCTCCTTCACCCCCTCAGTGAGGTGACCGCGGTACGAGTCCAGTACGACCATCGAGCTCCGCGCATGCCTCCCGAACCCAGGCTTTAAAAAGGGCTTGACGCTCTCCTCAAGCCATCGTATGACGCCTTCCGCGTCCATCCAGCCGTTCTCGTGACACGCCACGACCACATCTGCATAACAAAGAAGCTTCTGTAAGTTTCTCGTAAAAAAAAGGACCGATGAAAAGCATACAAACAAGAATCATGACTGACCCGGCGGGAACACCTCTTTCGGCACGGTCTTCCGCTTGAAAAAAACCCACGGCTTCAGCTTCATCCCGTCCGCCGTGCACGCCAACATCACGGTCACACGCTCCTTCTGGTACCCCGCGCTCCTGATGGGCACCGACCGAACATCGGTTTGATCGGCGGTAGTGGTGGCGGGCATCTCCAGCCACAGCGGCGTCTGGTTGGCATTGATAATCCACGTCGTCTCAATGCCGCGCTCCCGACGCTTGTCACGGACGAATTGCCAGAACTTCTTGCACTGCTCCGCGACATCTGCGGTTGAGCACAGTTACGGTTAGTGAGTAACAAGTGCATACACATGGCATAGAGAATAAAAATTATTCTTACGGGCGGCGATTTTCTGGGCGACCTTCGTCTTCATTCGCACGCTGAGATTCCACCGCCGATGGAACCGGTCCGACCACCGTTGGCTCCCTTTCCACTCCACGAGGGGGTAGAGAATCTTCATGAACTCCCAGGACCACTCCTGCAGGCGGCCGACGGACACCGCAGTTCCCTTGCGTCGCCAGTCGAGCAGTCGCTCATACACCTTGATCTCCATCGGGCGGTACCACAACGCCCTGCCGCGACCGTGCATGCGGCACCTGGCAGAGTGGGCTTCCTTGAGGAAATCAGCGGCACGCTTCCAGTTGGCGAGGCACTTGCGGTGGATGCCATTCTTGCGAGCCAGAGCGCGCACCGACACCGCCACATCCAGCTGCGCAACCCACTTCAACTTCTCGGCGGCAGTATAGGCCTGGCGCTTGTGCCTGGAGAGGGGGGGCTAGGATCACGGTTCTGTGAAGAAGGGTGAGGTCGCTTTCGATTACGTGGAGGATAAGTTGGTATCGGGAGTTTCTCGGGGAGGCCATCGCGTGACCAGTATTCGACACCGTCGTCGTCGTCATCGCCCGGCGCACCCTCGGGAAACACATCCTCAGCAGTGCCGGCCTCAGTAGCGGCCTCGGTGTCGGCCTCAGTGCCACCCTCGGCGCCGGCGTCGCCCTCAGCGCACCAATCTTCCTCGGCGTCTTGCACATCGTCGTCAGCGCCGACTGCAGATTCGTCCCACGTGAAATCTTCTGGCTGACCCCAACATGGTGCTGGCGCTGGAGCGGGTACGTCAACATCGGGGCCCTTGTCATAATCCGGTTCCGACAGATACTCGTCGAACGCCGATGGGAGCAGGAGCGTGAGCAGGGGGTGGTTGTCGATGTGAGGGGCCACCGGACACGGAGGAGACGGAGGAACAGGAGGAGCAGGGGGAGTCGGAGGCACTAGAGGAGCCGGAGGAGCAGGCAGCGCAGGAGGCGCAGGAGGCTGTGATGGCTCTGGAGGGTCTGGAGGTATGCGGCTATACCACCCGTCAGCTGTAACACGGTACGCGGGCCTACTGGAAGGTTTTTTCTTGAAGAGAAAATGAGTGCCTGTGAATTCCGCCATGGCTTCCGCAGCCAGGCGAGCGAGAACAAGAAGACTGAATAAAAAACTGCAACCCTGGGTGTTGAAATGGGAGATTGAAGGGGACCCCTTCTGGTTTGCGGCTCGGGGTCCTCGTCGATGAGAGACGAGTACACCCCTACCCCAACCCGCAGAGGAGGGTTGGGGGCACCATCCATGCTGCGCTGGCACGGCAGATTCCATCACGTTCTGGATGGTTCTGCCGAGATGCTCCTGCCTGGCAGCGCATGCCAACCTGATTGGGCTGCACGGCAGGTTTTGCATCAGCGCTGGCAGGTGCGTTGCACCGGGACGGGTTTTGTGCGGTGGGAAATCGAACCGTGGCAAGTTTCGCTGTCATTCCATGCACGACCCCGGGCGCATGGTACAGTGTTGTATTCGCCTTATTGAGGGATTGAGAATGATATCCTTTACATTGAAATTCAGTTTTGCCTTTATAAAAGCGCCGGCACTTATGGCCGTTACTCAATTACAAGCGCCCCCCCTAAAAAAAATGAATTTATTATAAGCGCATATGCGCTAATATCCGGGGTATTACGGTAGTGCTACGCTGGCGCGAGGTTCGGACTAGTCCCGAAGCGTAGGCCGACTCGGCTGCTCCAGCAGTGCGAGGTTTGGTGAAACAGTGCGCGCGAAGTTGGCGAAGCCCCGTTAGCAGTAACGGGCAAACAACGGCTGCTGCTGTACGCGATGTGGACGGTCGCGGTAAGGAACAGCGAGAAAATTCCTTACACTACCCCCCCCCCCCCCCCCCCCTCCCCCCCCCTCAAGAAGCCCCCTCGCGGAAACCCCGGCTCCTCAGGTACACTAGCAGAGCAGGGTGGTTTTCGATGTTGGCCAGAGGCACCCAGCTATCCTCAGTTGGCGTGCGATCCTTCCAGAGAACGAGGAACTTGATCCTCTTGATGCCTGTGGGGTGGCGAATCCGGTGGCTCAGATTTTTTTCGGGCTCGATGATCGGCTCCGATGCAAGGCGAGTCATGGATGGCGGGCGGTGATGAGGCAGTTGGCTCGTGCTTGGGATGTAAGGGCGAAGCAGGCTGACGTGGAATGATGGGCTGATGTACCAGTCTGTCGGCAGCAGTAAGTGGGCGGTAACTGGGGTGATCATGTGGCTGATTTGAAATGGTCCACAGTAGCG